TTCTAAGGGTGGCTGGTAGGTTTAAACCTCGAACCTATTGGTTAGCAGTTCAGTGCTTATCCTACAGCGCCATAGCAGGACTCCTAAAATACTTCTTGATGTTGTTAAGGGCCATTGAGTCAGTTCCAACCCATAGCGACCCTGTAGAGGTTTCTGAGGAGCAGCTGGTGAGCTTGAACCACCAACATTGCCGTTCAAACCGAACTTGTAGTCAAGCATATTAACCCACAGCGCTACACCAGGATTCCCCTAAATACTTAAGAGTACTTAATTAGTAAGACATTGCAAAGAAATTACAGAGCAAATACATCAGAAAAATTTTTTCAGGAGGCTTTCAAATAAACAAAGAAGGTAGATTTACCTCTGATCTCTGCCAAGGAAGGAATGTGATAGTTCCACTGGCATTAGCAAAATCATCAACAAGATAATTAGTGCCTTCAGATTCGATCTGTGAGATGATGTAAAAAACATGCACATAATCCAGAGCTCCTCTGGTTCTCTCTACCACACATGAAATGGTGGAGCCCTCCTCTGCTACCTGAAATTGAAAATAAATTATTTATAATCCATATCAATTCAAATAAATTGATAAAACTACAATGGTCTCATGAAATCTTTTAGTGTAAACTTAAACTCTATAGCTTTTTGACCTACCAAAATAAAGACCAAGAAGACCACTACCATCTCCCAGATATATTTTTCACTACTGGGAAATATTCAATCACTCATTTTCTCTCTTTCCTTTACAGGTATGAATAAAGCACAGTGAGTGGAGTTTAATTTGTTGGGCCCACACAAAGCCTCTGTGCCTGCTGTCACTCTGTTAATGACACTGCATAGGCTGAGGAGAGTTTGGCTGACATCCAATAAATGCAGCATCCTGACTTCCTGGTTGCTGAAAGCCTCTACAGGAATTCCCAGCACCCGATTCACATGCCTCTTCCCTCAACCTCCTTTCTCTAGTCTTGCTCCTTCCAGGTCACTGACCAATCTGTCATACCGTTAGTGTTGCTCAGGCATACATATATCCATGTTTCAGGTCATTTCACCCTCCAAATATGATGAATGACTAAGCGAACTGTTCACATCTTTGCCTACTATCCAGGCATACACCTGAATGGGGCAACAGAGTCCACTTTCAGCACTATCACCAATGTATCAAGTCAATCCATCTGTGAAGCAAGCATGAGATTTTTCCTCTTCTATCAATTAGCTGGGAGTTCTGGTATGGTGCTGTGGGTTAATGTGCCAGACTGCAAAGTCATTTGAGCTGTAAGGTTGGCAGTTCAAGCTCACCAGCTGCTTCTTAGAAACCCTATTATACAGGGTCGCTATGGGTCGGAATCAACTCGACAGCACTTAACAACAACAATCAATTAGCTGGACTCCTGGTGTGGCGCTGTAGGATCAGCACTAGACTGTGAACCACAGGGTCAGTGGTACAAACCCAATAGCTGCTTCTCAGAAACCCTATACAGGGTCCCTATGAGTGAAAACTGACTTGATGGCACTTAACATCAATTAACGAAACTTCCTAGGTGACACAATTGATTAACATAACCAGCTGCTAAATGACAGTTTGGCTGTTTGAATGACTGAAAATCTTCCAACGCCCACTTCCAAAAGCAAATTTCAGGTCTATTTCAAGGTATCTAAGTATTTAAAAATTTAATGTGTAAATTTGTGCCACCATTTTATTAGATCCCATCTTATCTTTCTTTTTAAGTTTTCCTGCCCAAGTCTGTGAGTATTGTATGCCCAACATGTTTTGCTCGTAAGTCCTTTGGTTTTTATTGCACAATTTTATATAGGATGGTGATTTTTAGAAACCCATCTATGACATTATGGCATAACTGACTGTACTGAAAGTGGAATCCTCGAAATGTAAGAGGCAAAAGAAGAGGAAGTAACAACAGAACAAAGTCTTCAACATAGCATCTAATTTCATTTCCAGTTAGGGATATACATCACAAGTTTCAGGATAGTAAAATGCTACATGTGTGAAACATCTCCTATTTTTCTTCACTTTATCCACCTTTTTCAGACTCCATCATCTCCTCTGAAAATGGGGATCAGAATGTCTCTTGGATTGGCTGGAAATTAAGTAGGAAATTTACATGGTACCTACTAATATATGAACTGCTCCACAAACAAAATCTATGTATAGATACATACATACATACATACATACATACATACATACATACATACATATTGTCTCCGCCTTAAAACATAAGCATATATACACAACAGAAAATGTTGTATAAAAATATTCCCTAATTTATATAAGTATATATATACTCACATACTGAGAAAGCAAACTGAGTTCTAAGTGTTTAAAATTCACTTCACAAAAGATAAAATACTAAAGCAGTAAATTTACTGCATTTGGAAATCAGACGTTTATTCTGAATGAGTTAAGTGAATAAATCTCAACATGTGAATATCCAATATTTTCCTTTTCAAATAGAGATACAACTTAAAATACAAAGATAAACTCAGTTTATATCTTCAATATTTTTATTTAAGTTTTTGCCACGTCAATGAGCAATACCAAGCAGGATCTACAAGGACTATGAGAGGAGCTTTTTTTATGTGGAGGTACAGCAGGAAAAGTTATCCAACCACACTTTCACTTCATAAAATCTTTAACAAAATTTATCCCCCCCAAACCTCCATTACCATAAGACCAGAAGAAATAGATGGCACCAGCTACCATTACTGAACATTTTGATCAAGTAACCCAACAGATGGATCCTGATGAAAAGGAGGAAATGTATGAAACAGAATCCTAAACCCATATGAAAACCAGACTTACTAAACCATTGAGACTAGGGAAACCCTCAAATTTAATGCCCAGAATTAATCCTTAAACTGAAACTGAAATTATCCATGAATCCATCATTAAATGAACCAATGGTAATAATAAAAAAAATAATAAAAACACCAAAACCAAACCCACTATCATTCTATTGCAAATCATAGCAACTACAATGTTTAGGGTTTTGTGTCAACTTGACTGGACCAGGATGGCCAGAGTTTAGCAGTTGGAATGTGCTTGTTCCCGTGGTGATGAAACTTAATACAAGCAAAGCTAAATCTGATGAGTGACTGTAAGCAGCCAATCAATTAAAGGGATACTTCCTTGGAGGTGTGGCCTGCTCCTAATGGGCATGTGGGAGGGGCTTTCTCTTCTGCTGGGGATCTGGGACTGCAATTATAAGCCATTTCCTTGATAATAAACTTCTCTGTCTCTCTTTTCCTCTCTCTCTCTCTCTCATATATACATATGTATGTTTCACTAGTTTTGCTTCTCTAGATAACCTGGCCTCAGATATGTGGTACAGAAAAAGTGGGGTTCTAGAGAAACAAAGTCATAAGGATGAATTTTCTAAATTGGTTCTCAAGCCTAATTTTAAAGGTACTGTTAAAGGATGGAGGCATGTCTGACCTCCACTTCATAGGAACCAGCCTTGGGCTGATTTTGAGTTTGGTCTTCTTTCCACCTTGTGGAATCAGGAAATCAGACATGGTTGCCATATGGCTTAAGAAGTTGTCGTTCTGAGCTGCATTCATTGCAATGTCTCCAGACCTATGCAATTATGAGGTTTTGTAAGAAAAAGAACGAAGGGGCATGAGATAAAATACTAAAGCAGTAAAGCAGGGAGAGTGGCAGCTCCTGGAAGGAGCTCTGGTAGCGTAGTGGTTATGAATCGGGCTGCGAACCGCAAGGTCAGCAGTTCGAAACTACCAGCTGTTTCGCGGGAGAAAGAGGAGACTTTCTGCTCCCGTAAAGATTAACAGCCTCGGAAACCCTGTACAGGATCACTATGAGTCGGAACCAACTCCACGGCACATAACAACAACAAGTCCAAGGAAGAAGAAAATTTTGAACTTGAGTGTTTTTTAAAGTTTGTGTGTTTGATTGCCTTATTAATATTGGTTTCGCCTGCCTATTATTGTAAAATAGACATACATGTGTGATATGTGAACATTGGAAATTATAATTACAAAGAGTTTGTAAGCCTGCTAAAAGGGGAGTTAGAATTTGCCTGGACAAAATCAGCTTCTTGCTTTAAGCCTTTGTAGAGTACTAATCCTGAGCTGGAATCCTGAGCTAGAATCCTGAGCCCCACCCAAAACCTTCAAATTTGGGACATTTGCATTTGAAAAGACCTTCAGACCAAACCTTTAGGAGAACTGGAGACTCATGATTAAAATAAAGCAAAAAATAAGCAGAGTTCAGTGATTTGAGCTTTGGAGTTATCAAGGCAAGGAAAATTGGTCCATCAGTGAAAATCTCCTTCTAGGACTGAAAGTTAAAAGGAACCAGTGAGCTATATGCTGGCTGGTGACCACCTGGAACTTACTTGTGAGTGGAATTGGGGGAAAGGGGCTGAGTTTGTACATGTTCTAATGGCACCCATTGACCTGGAGATGAAATAACAGGGAAGGCTGACTGGTCTGAAGTTTAGGGATTTGTGTGATCTCCTGTGCCCATGGGCACTAACTTAGCCCTTGGGGGCTAGGGCTGAGAGTGAAGGGGCCAGCTTGTTTACAGTGCAGGGAGGTGTGTGTGAGCTCCTAAACTTCCAGCTAGTACCCATTTGACCTAGCTTGGATGGCTAGGGCTGAACTGAACAGAACCTGACCAGATGACAATAAAGATGTTTGACACTGTGAGCAAGTGTCCTGCTGCTGTGTGTAAGCAGATGGGCAATTTGTACATTAACTATCAAAAATGCAGGGGGGACTATAAAGGTATGAAGTGGCTGGTTTATAAGCTTTCATGGATGTGCTTAGTTTTAGAATGAAGGAGGTATGACAGAATTCTCACTGAATAGTTTTCTTCATCTTCAGATGGGTGGGACATAATGCTGATAGGATTTTATTATTTCAATCATGAGTAAATGTTAGAAGGTTTCATTGAGATTATCAAAACTATGATTGTAGGAAATGGATAACTAAAAGGAGGGAGTAGTTATCTGTCATTTCAGGAACATATGATCTCAGGACCAACAAGAAGAAAAAGCATGAGTGAACTTGGGATCCCTGCCTGGAAAAGTATGACAGCAGAGATGGCAGCAGCGGGAGTAGCAGGGAAAGGCAGAACAGCTATAGACTCTAGGCCCACGGGCTAAGGCTGTAGGCCTATGGGCAGGAAGCTGACTTATAGAATGGCCCTTTGGACATTTAAATGGATATATTTGTTTTATTTAGTTTTGCATCTGTGCATCAAATATTTTTGCTTTGTTCGTTTGTGAAATTTAAGATTTAAATGGGGCCAGCACATTTTTGGTTGTACATGTTTCAGTTATATCATGTTAGGGGCAAGTACGACTTTACAGTTTTCTTTATTTAGAGATTATGCATATAGTTTATAGGTTTCAAGTTGACAAGGGTAGACTGTAATGGTTAGAGTTCTGTGCCAACTTGACTAGGCCAGGATTTCCATAGGTTTAGCTGTTGGGATATGCTTATTCATGATGATGAAACCTAAAACAGGCATAATTAACTCTGATGAATGGCTATGAGCAG